CTCCTCGGTTTGGGACTTTACCTTTTTCTTTTGGTGTACCAGTGCTTAGCACCACGACACTCCTGGTTTTCAGCTTCATACAGCAGCGTATACAGAACGCCAAGAAAATATTTTTGCCGTGCCTTTGTGCTTGCAGGCCTTTTTGCAGTGCTTGGGAATGTCAGAATTATTTGCGCGGTCATTGCTTGGAATTGATCAGATCAGGTGCTTCTTTTTCAGTCATTCAATCGGTAAAGAAGGCTGAGTTCATCAGCTGAACAGACAACCCAGATAAGACAGGTTTGGGAAAGAATTTTTATTGTTCCAAAGATTTAGTATTCAGACATTATAGACTTGAGTAAATTCTAATTGTGTTTCTAACTCTACGTTTAATAAAAGGACCATGGAGAAGGGAAAAAAAAAAAAGGGCGGTGAGCAGTGGGAGGGAAAACAGGAAATGAGACCATGAATCAAATCAGGTCTTGGAGATGACAGTCAGGCTGGCTACAAATTCTGCAGCTCACTTGCTACTGATGTGAACCACACCAGTCAGATAAAAGTATATCAACATAAATAATCACATATTAATGTGACATAATATTAATATATTTTGCTTTGAAGTCCATAGGTAAATCTGAGGGTCCTGAACTGCATGAGACGCATTAACTAAATAAGCTTTGCAACAGCTTCCTGTGGCTAGTGCTTCAAGGCATGGAATCCAGGCTGCCCTCTGTGGAAAGCGCGGGGATCTCTGGGGTGATATATATAACATAATCCAATATACAGTGCAGAGTAGCCAATAGAGAAATAAAGACTAATAAAGTATCCCAGGTACTCTAGAAAGTAGCAAAAATATTTTCTTGGCGTTCTGTATACGCTGCTGTATGAAGCTGAAAAGCAGGAGTGTCGTGGTGCTAAGCACTGGTACACCAAAAGAAAAAGGTAAAGTCCCAAACCGAGGAGGGGACGCACTCTGCCGCGGACCGTGGAAAGGGCTCGTCTTGAATCCGTGCCAGGAAAAGTGGAT